TTCTTGCAGTTCTTGATGAACACGGAGTTCCACGAGTCTGGCCCTGGGGTAGAGTGCATGGGCATGTCATTTATCGCCTTTTCGAAGTCATTTGGCATCAGGATAACATCAAATTCTGTGGCTCTCTCATAAAAAATTCATTTTGATTTTCGACTCTGGTTAGCGGCTTGCTAAAAACTGAGTCATATTGGGACTTGGGCAGCTTACTCATTTCCTTGCTGTCAGCTGTGTAGGACCCATCTTGTTTAAGTAGAGGCCCAATACTGGATGTTGTTCTCGACTTTGATTTGGCATAAGAATTATTATTATTATAATCAAAAAGAAGCACTAAGCCTTGGCATAAGAAAAGAAATACTTTGGGTTTCTTTTGATTTCATTTATGGTTTTTAGTTCTTCCCGCGATTCCTGACTCCTATAAGATTCCTTTAGCTTAAGTTCGATGTTTGCTATTTCTCTGACCAGTGTCTCCCTACGCATTTCAGATATATTGGCCTCTTTTAGCCGCTCAATGAAAAGTAGGGGCACCACGAGTACACTGAGACACAACACAGTAAGTGTCCGGGACCCAAGACAGTTCAACTGCCTTCTATCATACATAAGAGGGATTACCAGTAGACCCCTGGCTGTCTTCAAGAAGGCACTGGATAGGCACCTAAAGTCAGTACATGATCAGCCAGGCTGTCACTGTACTTCCTGTGTGTGTGTACTCACCCAACTATGGTTGCAGGGGTCGATTCAGTGTGTGTGTGTTTGTGTGTGGCATACAAACGTAGAGACTATTCCAACCTGCACACTTGTATATCAAAGTATACAATATTTTTGCCACAAAGTCAAACTCCAGATAAATATGGCCGTCTGAAGCTAATTGTGATATACCATACCCTGGAGCACCAGACTTATGAAATTATTTACAAACCTTATCTCTCCAGAGCAGGATTCGAACCTGTGGGTTTGCTGTACCTGCTAGATGTAGTTTTTCGCAAATATTTAAAGTATATTTTCATGCAAATTGCGAGGGGACCTATGATAAAGTTCCTTGAATTAAGTCTAAATGTTTTCTATTTCCCCAGGTGCTGTATGACTCCTATGGGTTTAATGCTACCAATGAATGTATTAATACTGTGTTGTCCCGTGGCTCGGTTGGCAATGCACTCGCCTCGCACACTGAATGTCCATGGTAAAATCCCTGCATGGGTGGAACCGTTGGGCTTCTTTTCTTACACCTGCTGTCTCTGTTCATCTAGCAGTAAGTAGGTGCCTGGGTGTTAGCTGGTGTGGGTCGCATCCTTGAGGACAAGATTAAAGACCACAATGGAAATATAAACAGTCCTCGATAACGCACTGACTTGGGTTATCCTGGATGGCTAACCCTCCCGGGGTTATCATGGTGAGCGCTAAACTCGTAGGGATTATACAGAGACCTGTGGGGGGAATAATGGAAAGCATTCAGGGAATTGCATCACAGACTCGACAGGCGGTGCAACATCCCCCTAATGAAAAGCAGGGGCACCACGAGTACGCCAAGAGAGAACAGCTGCCTCCCATCATACACAAGGGGGATAACCAACAGACCCCTGACTGTCTTTAAGAAGGCGCTGAACAGGCACCTAAAGTTAGTACCTGACCAGCTGGGCTGTGGCTCGTACGTCAGTTTGCATGTGGCTAACAGCCTGGTTAATCAGGCCCTGATCCTCTGTGAGGCCTGGTCACAGACTGGGCTGTGGGTGACGATTGTGCTTCTTAGAATCCTTTCAAAGATTTTTGTGTGTGACGTCAGTGCCACTTTTATGGAGCGGGGCTATGTTTTTACTGACCGTGGAATGACCCATGTCCATGCTACCTCTACATAAAATACTTAGGCATGTGAAGGGGCTTCTTGCAGTTCTTGATGAACACCGAGTTCCAAGTCTGGACCTGGGGCAGAATGCATAAGCATGTCATTTATTGCTTTTTTAAAGTTTTGTGGTATTTGAATATTTTTTAATTAACCAAATTTTGAATCTCATAAAAAATTATTTAGATTATCTACCCTTAGTCTGATTAATGGCTCACTAAATGCTGAGTCATATTAGGCAAGTTTTCAATTTGATTTAAAATGCAAAAATTAAAATACTGGTTGTTATGAAATTTTGAATGCATCATCCGAGCGGCATTAAACCTTCAAAGCTGAGAATCAATTCAGATTTACTGCTGGGGTATTTTTGGGTATTGGCTTCTGTGCAAAATCTAGAGAATGCCTCTTCTGATTCAGCTGACATAAAGGAACCTTGAAGGGTGGTGAAGAGGTAAGAATGTAAAGTGTAACTATGTAAGAGTTGGACAAAGAACAGGTGTGTAGAACATTAATGGGTATTCACTGTCAGGCAAATCCAGAGCATAATTATGAAAATAATATACAATATCAATAAGTATATGAATAAGATATGTTTTGCCTACATGGTAGGCTTGACTGAAGCCTGCTGTGCAGGCAAAACTTTTCAACAATAAAGATGCCTAAATGTCGCACATCTTACTCGCCAACTCTGGAGTAGGTGGTGAGTGGTATTTTTTCCTGTAGGCAGAGTAAGGTTATAGCTTGGTCATAAGACACTTTCTCGAAGGAAAAGAGGGCACTGTTAAGAAAACAGGTAAATGCTTATTTGAAGGTAAAGCAGGCAGGGGAAGAGGTTGCATGTGGGGTCAATATGATCTCATTTTCCAGACAATTTTTTCCATGATTGGTCATATTCTGCCAGGCAACTGTAGCACAGTACCAGTATTCATGGTCTAGTGGCAGTACCTGCTGTCACCAGCCATTAAGTCTTCGTAGTATTCTCTCAGTCTGTTATTACGTTCTTTTCTACAAGTATTATTTTCACCTGATGACTGACAGCAGGAAAAGATACATGATAATCGTATATAAGGTCATTAAGAAGTGATAACCATGCAAGATCATTTAGAGGCATGGTAACCACACACTGGGTTAAGTTTCTTCAGAAAGCATTGAACTACATACTGAGGATGGAAGCTCATAGTAATTGAACGTTAATTTAGTTTTACTGTATTAGTTGAGTTTTAATTGATTTGTATGTCTAGAGCAGTCTTTTGAAGTTTTAAGTGACCATATGAAGAAGACAATGGCCACATAGTATAAGTCTTAGGCTGGGGTGCCAGTATAAGCTTACCCAAGTCCTGCCAATGGTGTAGATGCATTACTTGATTGTGCAAGTTTGTGGCCACTTAGATATGTTTTAACCCTTTCAGGGTCCGTCCCGTAGATCTACGGCTTTACGTTCAGGGTCCAAACCGTAGATCTACGCCATGAGCTCAGCTCACTCTGATAAACTGTGAGTGGTACATTTGGGCCTAGATATGAGAGAATACATCTATGTGGTATGTGTGCACCACATAAAACAGATCCTGCAGCACACTGTGTATATGAGAAAAAAAATTAAATCATGATTTTTCGATTAAAACAGCAACTTTGCAGTGTTTTTCGTATGTTTTTTATAGTTGTATTTGCGATTTCTTGGTCTCATTTGATAGAATGGAAGACATATTACAGAAATAGAGATGATTTTGATTGGTTTTAGCACTGGAAATGGCTTGAAACTGAGCTCAAAGTAGCAGAAATGTTAAATTTTTGCCGATATTCAAGAGTAAACAAACGACCTCACACGTCTAATACAAGTCAACTGGTGGGTCTAATATACATTCACAAATATGGTGATGATATTTATACAATTATTACAGTATTGCATAACAGTAAATCTTCTATTTTTTGGTGTGAATAAAAATTCATTGTGAATAAAAAATCAAAATGGAATTTATTTGTAAAGCCTCCAAACATAACTAATGAACAGAGGAAATGTTAGTTTAGTGCCAGGAATGCCTACATTGTTCATTCTGGACCCTATTTTGAAATTGGAATATTTTGAACTTTGTGTTAAATTGGCCAAATTAACAATTTCCGATCACTTTATTTTGTAGTTGAAATAGTTGACTTGGCGATTTCTTGTGCTCAATCGATAGAATAGAAGTAATACTAGTGAAATAGCTAAGAATTTGGTTGATTGGAATAATGTAATTGGCCTAAAATGGGAGTCAAAGTCGGCAAAATCGCCGATTCGTAAATATCGCTGACACATCAAAATTCGCGAGAGCATAATTTCATCAATTTTCTTACTTTTTGTTTTATTACCTTCACAAAAAGATTCTCTACGATTTCATAAGAAAAAATAAATTTTTTTTTTGAAAATTCTTGAGACACTGGTGCGTGACTCCAGATTTGCGCCTTGGACCCTGAAAGGGTTAAGGTTTCTTGGTTGTAGTGAAATCATATTTAATGTCTTGGAAGATTATCTGTTGGAGATATTTCCACGACTGAGGTGTGCTTGTGCTACGTTAGTATTGTCACATTGTTCTCGGGTGGCCTCGAGTTACTCCAGCCTTTGATGCACGGAAAATCGATGAAGTAATGTAGGTGAAGCTGGTTCCATAGTAGTGGGGGTCAGAAGTACCAGAGGTAATAGGCAGAACCCCTACTAGGTTCAGGCTACAATTATTATTATAATCAAAAAGAAGCGCTAAGCCACAAGGGCTATACAGCTCAGGCTATTGCCCGAAAGTGGTTCCAGGTTATGAGTTCGTACAAGGGTTGGTAGAAGTTGCCATCGCTGATTTTTTTTTTTTACAGGGGGGAAGCACTAGGCCTACAGAGGACATATAGTGCCTATGGAATGAGAGGAGCCACATAACCTGAACTAAGGTCACCACTGCTGTGGGAGATAGAGAAATTGCTTACAGGTAACTTAAACCTGTGCAGGTCATACAGTAGAGGTACCATATTAATGTTTGTTGGCAATTTAAGACAACCTAACTTCTAAGTTACAGCATTATCACTGGTGATTATCCAGAGTTGCTTCCTAATGATCTGCCTGATACTTTTAATAACAGAATCCTTATTGCAAGATAATATTATGACCCAGTAAATTTAAGTGGGAAAAAATAAAAACTAAAGCAAAACTATACAAAATTTAATATTTATAAAATTTTGTAGGCACATTACCCTCTTCAACAACCTGTTCACATTATTTGTCATTTTCAAGATACATACTTTAAATACATAATATGAATAGGTATTTCTAATTAAAAGATGAATGCTTTCTTACTGAATGTTAGTATGCAAAGCTTTCATATATGAGTAAGTACAAGAGGCTACAAAAAACTAATTTAAGTCTTGGAATTCACTATTAGTTTGATAATGAAAATACTGTACTATCAAAATCTTTTAATCATAAAAAAAAAAAGGCAAAATATTTAAAGAAGGTCTAAAACTCTGCTAGAAAAACACTCGCCTACATAACCAGATCATCTTCTAAGCTAACAGGAATGTAACTGTCTAAGCAAGATTTATTATTCAGTAATATAAATATTGATAGCATTTACTCTCGTAACTTAACATTATTATATTTGAAAACAAGCAGTAAACCAATATGGGTCTTATAGCTCATGCCTCAATCTAAGCATTAAGCACAAGACGAACAAATTCTTCGTAGTTAACATTGCCTTGAGAGTCTTCCTGGCCAGCTAGTAACTGCTCAACTTCTTCATCAGTCAACTTTTCACCTGAAAGAAGAAAAATATCAAGTTTAAAAATCTATATAAAGAATATGACAAAACTCAAATCTCCTTTTCAATGTAGCCTTATTTGTCTAAATGTAAAAATCTACACAAGAGTTGCACAAGAAAACGCTTGATTTGCCTTACTATCCTTGTTTAGGTTCATATGAAAGATTTCCGATTTGACAAAAATGCCTTTCAGTTGGAGCTATTTTTCCCTCCAGCTGTTATGTCCACATTTACAAAAGTAAATACTTATTTATTTACTTTTCAGTATAGCATTACACTTTTATACTACATACAGTATATTACATATTTACTATATGATACTATTTGGTATATACTGTATAATACTTTAAATACATAATATGAATAGGTATTTCTAATTAAAGGATGAATGCTTTCTTACTGAATGTTAGTATGCAAAGCTTTCATATATGAGTAAGTACAAGAGGCTACAAAAAACTAATTAAAGTCTTGGAATTCACTATTAGTTTGATAATGAAAATACTGTACTATCAAAATCTTTTAATCATAAAAAAAAAAAGGCAAAATATTTAAAGAAGGTCTAAAACTCGCTAGAAAAACACTGTTCAATGGTCAACTATATAATAAAAGATTCTTTGCTATACGTATTGTCTACTTACAACCATATAATAATATATACCACTTGTTAGGGGAAAATTTGTATGTGGTGATAGTATTGTTATACCTAAAAAAAAAATATTGCTCCTAAAGAGCTAAAAAGAAATATTAATTATGAAAATTTAAAAAAAAGTGTCTCATTGGCTAACAGCATACAAGAACGAACACGTAAAGAATATCAGCATTTCTTCATAAATATTGATAGAGTACTGTACTGTTAAATTCACTTCCCCATACCAAAAAAATACCAGTTAAGTTATACTAATACTACTTAACATAGATAGGAAACCTAAATTTATATTGTAGTGTATGTAAATTTCAGCAATATGTTACTAGGATACTTTTTGAAAAAAATTAAAATTTGATTATAAGAACATTTGAATAACCGTAGTTAATTACTTTTGAAAAAGAGGGGAAGAAAGCAAGGAAACAAATCGAGGGATATGAATACTCGAATAGGATACAAAAGGGTGTAGTCAATTAAGTGCAACAACCAATGAAAACTTAATCAAGTCATAGATGGTGGGGCTTGAACCCATGGCAGGCAAGTTTTAGAACTCACAGGCCAGTATGCTAGACACTCGGCCAGCTGGCTCTAACAAGATTCATCCAACTAGGTGTATTTCTGTACAAAAGTACATCTGGTTGGATAAATTTTATTACAGCCAGCTGAGTAATTAGCACACTGGCTTGGAAGTTTTTTGACTCACTTGCCATGGATTCAAGCCCCACCCATTCTGCAATTTGTTTGCAATCATGTTATGATTTCGTGAGTATTGATAACTTAAATTTAATTGAGAATTGTAAATGAACACTGAAAAGAAGATATAATAATTATGGTCTAGTAGCTACAAATAGGTAATCATACTAGAATTTTAGCCAATGCATCTGAAAAAGGTATATGAACTACAAACCCAAATGAGTCATCAAATGACGAAGTTCGGCAGAAGAAATGTAGCCATTTCCATCCTTGTCAAAGTGACGAAGACCTTCAATGAAGTCATCAGCTGTGTCGACCGGACGCTGGCGTGAGATGGTCTGCATAATAGGCAGAAACACTTCAAAGCTGATTCTCTCGTCTAAAAAAAAAAAAATGAAAAATACATACATATGTATGAGCTTGAAATTTAATAAATCATTGTAATAATTTAGAGTGGAGGGAATGGATCTGGAGTAGACAATGCCAAACCACTGCTCAAAGTGACATGACCCTGAAGGCTACAAGGTATTCTCAAGCTAGAAACTTCAAAACACTGGAAAGCTCAACAGGTCCCTAATTTTGACCCAACTTTATTTAATCACAAAAAACTTGCTAACACAACCAATGCCAGAATTTAGCTACAGTCTTAAATGCAATGCCTATAAGCCAGAAAAACCTCAAGGGAAGTTCCTTGATGCTGGTGAGGGGCTCTTGATCTAGGGAATTGGATCTGTGCTCCAGTTCCCTGAATTAAGCCTGAATTCCTTCCATTCCCCCCCCACAGGCGCTGTATAATTCTATGGGTTTAGCGCTTCTCCATTATTATAATAATAATAATCTGCTCTACTCACCTGAAATATTACAACTGTTTTATTTTTCTGGATCATACATAATACATTTGGATCAAGAACTTGACACTGGCACTGGTTGTGTAGGCCTCTAAAAAATTTAAGTTGGGTCACAGTTACAGACTTCAGTATATACTAAAAAATAACTAGTTTGAGAACGTCACTAAAGCAGTAGGTTGGTATTCTGCTTTACTCCAAGTTCGATTCCTGTACTCCCCTGAAATTTTTTCTTAACACACCAACTGTCTTCCACTGAAGCAGGGTGACCCAAGAACACCACACTTTCACCATCATTCATTCAATCACTTTCTTTTCAGAAGCATGCTGATGTCAATTCAGATGATCCTCCAAACTACAGCATTCCCACCCCTCTTTCAGGATGAAAGGCACTGTACTTTCCCCACCTCCAGGACTCGAGTTCAGTTAACTGGTTTCCCTGAATCCCATCGTAAATGTTACCTTGCTCACACACTGACAGCACATTAAATCATAAAATCCACTTGCCTCCACTCCTAACACTCACAAAAGCCTGTTGGATGTACAAGCCTCTTGCATACTAAACCCCCTTTACCCCCTCCGTCTAACTTTTCCTAGAATGACCCCTACCCACTATCCCTCCACTCCAGCTTCATACACCCTCCAAACCACCTCAATAACTACTACTCAGCCCTCTGAATAATACTTATGGTAACTTCACCTATTCCCCAAACTATGAATTCTCTGCACAATTTTCACACCACACATTTCCCTCTGACATATCACCACTGCCTCCTCACTGCAATGTTTAAAACCTAGGCTTTACAACCACATGTGATGTATAACCCTGGTAGTTTATTGATTAGTTTTGATAATTCGCAACACATAAGTGTGCTGGTAACACTATACGTACTCTAGCACATTCTCCTTTTTGCCTCCATGGATATTACTATAATCATAAGTGCTAAACTCACAAGGGCCATACAACACTGCCCTCCATGGATAAGGTTCATCTCCACATATACTTCAATGCACCACCTAACTTTTTTCCCCGCATCAATACTATCAATTCTATGGTTCACTTCATCTTTCATAGACTGCCACCAAGTTCATTCCCAAATATCCTAACACACTTACTTCCACCTTCCAGCCTGATGTTCAGTCTTTCATTACCTAAATTTTTTGTTACTCTCATCACTCTGCTGTCACTTTTAAATTCTTTCTTTTGCATACCCTCTCAAGTTTATCTACCAACCTTTGTAACTTGTCAAAATCTCCCAAAAAAGAACCCTGTCATTGGCAGAAAAGCTACTGTGCCGCTCTCACTGTGTATTATTCATTTTTTTAATGGCATACCTCTCCCCAACATCCTAGTGTTTACTATTTCTACAACCCCATCTATACATATGTTAAACAACTATTGTGACATCACACATCCCCATCTAAGGCCTACTTTAATTGAATTATTATAATCAGGGGAAGCGCTAAACCCATAGGATTATGCAGCGCCTATGGAGGGGGGGGGGGGATGTGGAAGGCATTCAGGTTTAATTCAGGGAACTGGAGCACAGATCCAATTCCCTACATCAAGAGCCCCTCACCAACGTCAAGGAACCTTCCTTGAGGGGTACTTTAATGGAAAATCTACCTCTCTCCTACATACCCTAGCCTGAGCCTATCTTTCACAAACACTTAACTACTTTAAATAACTTACCACCTATTCCATACACTTGTAACATCTGCCACATTGCTTCCCTATCCCCTTATCATATCCCTTTCCTAAATCCTTTCCAAAATCATAACATTCACAATCATTTCTTTATCATTAGTACTCCATCCAGTTTCTTTTACACAAATCAGTACGCTGTTAGGTGTAGGTTGGTAGACAGCAACTGCCCAGGGAGGTACTACCGTCCTGCCAAGCGAGTGTAAAACGGAAACCTGTAATTGTTTTACATGATGGTAGGATTACTGGTGTCTTTTTTCTGTCTCATAAACATGCAAGATTTCAGGTACATCTTGCTACTTCTACTTACACATAGGTCACACTACACGTATATGTACAAGCATATGCTGCGTGTCTCAATCTTCAAGCATATATATACACACACCCTCTGGGTTTTCTTCTGTTTTCTTTCTAGTACTTGTTCTTGTTTATTTCCTATCTCCATGGGGAAGTGGAACAGAATTTTTCCTCCGTAAGCCATGCGTGTTGTAGGAGGCGACTAAAATGCCGGGAGTAAGGGTCTAGTAACCCCTTCTCCTGTATAAATTACTAAATTTAAAGAGAGAAACTTTCGTTTTTCTTTTTGGGCCACCCTGCCTTGGTGGGATACGGCCGGTTTGTTGAAAAAAAAAAAAAAATCAGTACGCTATAGGATAACAGATAACTATATGTAATAGCTTAGCAAATAAATTCTGGTATTTGGTACATAGTTTTCAACTATTCAACTAGTATTCTGTTTTTGAAATGTACATTTTTTGTTAAATAAAAATTAGGATTGCTAGTCCTATAATAATCGTAGATCACCTCCATCCAGGAGGTTAAGTTAAATAATGGCAATAATTAACCAGCACTACTACACTAATATAAAAATTTCTCACCTGGTCGATGTTGATGAGAAAGTTTCTTTACATCTGATTCTGTGGGATTCTGGCCAAGTGCTCTCAATACCTCTCCAATTTGTGATACCTGGATTTTGCCATCACCCTTTTGATCAAAGATGGAGAAAGCTTCCTGGAATTCTGCAAAATGTGGTAATTAGAAAATGCATTGCCGGTAGTAATTAAGTACAGGTTGGCCATCACTAATCCGGCATCATCGGGACCTGTAAGGTGCCAGATTACAGAATGGTTAGGGTAGAATACTTAACCCAACGGCAATATTTATGCACTGGCGATTTCACCTACTTTACACCCATTTTTGGCCCATTTCATTGTTCCAGTCTACCAAACTCGGCTATTTTGCTAGTATTCCTTCTATTTTGTCGACTGAGTACAAGAAACTACCCATTCACCTATATCAACTACCCAATAGTGGTCAGAAATCAGTAATTTGGCCAATTTCACACAAATTTCAAAAGATGCCAATTTCAAAATAGGGTCCAGAATAAACAAATGCAGACATTCCTAGCACTAAAATAACATTTTCTCTGCTCATTAGTCATGTCTCCAGGCCCTTCTTATATTATGCTTACTTTCCATTTTGAATTTTTATTCACACAAAAAAAATAGATTTACTGTTATGCATACTGCATTATTGTAATAATTGTATAAATAATGTCAATCCATTTGTGACTGTATTAGACCGGCCAGTTGGACACACAATGGACAGTAACGTCTTGAAAATCGGCAAAAATTTAATATTTCTGCTACTTTGAGCTCAATTTTAAGGTATGTACTTTCCAGCATGAAACCAATCAAAATTATATCTATTTATGTAATATATTTTCTATTCTATTGAGAGAGAGAGAAAAAAAAGAATAAAACCATACAAAAATACACCACAAAGCCGGGTTTACACCATAAATACAAATGCAGTTCTTTTCTCATTATGCACTGCATGCTGCAGGATTTTTTTTATATAGTGCACACTTACCACACAGACCTATTCTCGCATATGTAGGCCCAAATTTACCAGTCACAGCTTATCTGAGTGAGCTAAGCTCATGGTGACCAACAGTGGCTTCAAAGTCACTTTATCTTTTATGGACAATGTATGGTGCATGTGCTTTACATAATAAGAAGCATTTCTTTTATTCATTAGAACCATGGCTAGGGCTAGAAGTGAGCAAGTTATAACAATAAACGGAGAAAAAGAAATTGGAATGACTCTTGCAGCAAGTAGCGCCACCAAACAGTAGCAGCAAGTTGGTGTGGCGACCCCGGAAATTCGAAAATAAGCTAGCCGAAATTAGTGCCAGATTACTGATGGCCAACCTGTATCACACACTACAAAGGTGGAATAGCTTCTGTAATTATCATATGACTTAAAAACACACAAACCAAGAGCAATTTCTATTTATTCCCCCCTTTCCACCCCCAGCTTGAAACATGTGGGGTTCCACAAGAATAAGTGTTACCCCATTATTGTAATTTCATAATCTCAAATGTAACCTTGCAAAGAAATTAACTGTTTCTTTGTTAAGACCCCTACCATTCCAAAAGCAAACCCAAAAATCCATCAAAATAAGGGGGGATTTGGGATTGCTTTTAGAAAGCTATAGACGGGGTTTCTTTTCTGGACATTTATTTATTTATACTTACCAATCTTCCCTTTTTTTTTTATACTACATGAAAGGTCTACTCATTTCTATTTGAAAACCCAAACCGAAACACCCCCCCTTTCCAATTCAAAATTTTACCCCGGGGGGTTACTCCCCTTTACTTAATTGGGGGGGGGGGGGGGGGGGGGGGGGTTTTGGGGGGGGGGGGGGGGGGTTTGGGGGTTCCCCTTTTTTCTAGAGGAAATTTGGCAATTTTTTTCATGCACAAAAATCAGGCTCGGAAACCCTTTCAAAAACCCCCCCCTCCCCCATTTTTTTTTCCCCCCAACTTTTTTAAAGTGTTTGGGAAATTTTCCCACTTTTTTCCTTAAATGTGGTTATTGTGATATCACCTATTTAAGGCGACCCTTATTCTAATACATAAAAACCTTTGGGTTTTTTGGAAATGCTCATTTTTTGAAACGATTCTTTTTCGGCAAATTTTTTTTCAAAATTTGTCCCAGTTTTTGACATCCGCTCGGTTTTTTTTATAGGTTTAAATGGGCCGTACCAAACTTTTCCCCCCTGCCCACGTGACTCAATCACCATTTCCTGGAATCTACACCCCCACAAAGCCCTCCCTCGTTTGGACCGGTCCTTTCTTTTTTTTCTCTTTGATGAGCACACCCGACATTCATTTCCAAACATTTCGTAATCCCCTTTTTTTTTCGTCCCCTTTTTTAAAAGAGTGTGACTGGGTAAAACCCCCCACGGGGCCAAAAAAAAGTTCTAGTGCCAGCCCTTTGATAAAAGGGGGTGAGAAACACAAAAAGAAATTTAAGAAAATCAAAAGCAATGTTGGGGAAAAAGAGGGGGTATCGTGGGTTTATCTCGCCCGGATGGATGCGAATCCACATCAAAAGATCAGTTTTTATTTCCCGGTAAAAAAAAAATAAATCAAAGGAAAACTGATGTTTTGAAAGGGGGAAATGTTTTCTAACAAAACAGATTAAGGGGCGTGGGTGCAAAGTGGGAAAGAGTTGCAAAGTTTTGTGGGAAATATTTCCCTAAAAAAAGCTGTTTTTAAGCCGTTTTCTGCAACATGTTTAATGACAATGCCTGTCCCCCCTTTTTTTAGGCAAATCTTAGAGATGCCAGGAACAAACCTCTCTGGACATTTTTTTTTTTGCGCAACAGGGGTCCAGTGGCTCTCAAGCTGGTTATAGTACCAGTAAAAGACAAAGAAGTGAATTAGCCCTGGATAGGGCCTTGATACCTGAATTCCTTATGGATGGGGAGTCCCCTTCCAAACAATAACCTCCCCCCTCCTTGCCATCTTCCATATGCCAACAAGAGTCTTCAGTAAAGGTAAAAATGATGTTAAATGTTCATTTACCCATTTCATTAGTCATTTGTATTTATTTCTTGTTGTTTTCTGTATGTAAAACTGCAGTCCCATCCCTTTATCCGAAATTCTGAAATTTGAAAAGTTCCAAAAAACTGAAGTTTTTTCATGGAGTGTAGAGCGTCAGTTATCTCTACATAGCTCCAACGCCGCCAGTTGTGTCATAAGAACATAAGAAAGGAGGAACACTGCAGCAGGCCAGTTGGCCCATACTAGGCAGGTCCTTCGCAATCCATCCCACTAACATAATACACAAATAACCCACGTTTCGGTCCGACTTGGACCATTTACAAAGTCGCACTCAATTTTCAATGCTACCCAAGCAATAAGCTTTGATAATTCTATTTACTCATGAGCAAGTCCCACTCACATTCAACCCCTCTCACTCATAAGAACACAGAGGAGGAACACAGCAATAGGCTTGTTGGCCAAGGCAGGTCCTTCACAAATCTGACCTACTAACAGAATAAACTCTACCCAAGCAATAAGCTCTGACAATTCTATTGCTTGAGTAGAGTTCATTCTGTTAGTGGGTTTGATTTGCAAAGGCCTGCCTAGTATGGGCCAACAGGCCTATTGCAGTGTTCCTCCTTTATTATGTTCTTATGATTGAGAGGGGTTGCATGTGAGTGGGACTTGCACATGAGTAAATAGAATTATCAAAGCTTATTGCTTGGGTAGTATTGAAAATTGAGTTGGGCAAATATTCTGTTGGAGACTGAGATACTTATGCAACATTTGGGAATCTTTACTGAGGAAACGTTTTGCCACACAGTGGCTTCATCAGTACAATACAAAGCAGAAAGGTGTAAGAAGAGGAGTTTGAGGCAATCAGTCCCTCAGCCTGGAGTCAATGTGTTCAGTCCATCAACCTACAAGAGCTGGGTATGACTGATGTTGTGGGTACAGAACAACATAGGAAAGGAGGAACACTGCAACAGGCCTGATGGCCTAGACCCCACCTTCATTCTGGAATTCGAAACACTGCTGGCCCCAAGGGTTTCGGATAAAGGGATGGGGACTGTATAGTTATTCTCTATAAAATGCATTTTTTGTTAACATTTTTGGGTGTCTGGAATGGATTAATAGGATTTACATTGTTTCTTATGGGAAATATTATTTCAGTTTTCATCCATTTCAAATTTCGACCAACCTTCTAGAACGGATTAATCACAAAAACCGAGGTTCCACTGTACATACCTAATGTACGCATCTTTGTAAATAAATTCGATATTTTAGTTTTTAGAACCGATTTACATCCATGTGCCAGTTATGGAGATGAATAAGCCTCAGTTTAAGATTTGGGATGACTGAGAAACACATTTTACATAACTATAGTCCAATATTTCAATAATTATTTGGCCAATACAATATTATCTATTACAGGATATTTACTGTGAATTATGACAATATATAATAATTACAGTATCCTGATTTATAATCTAGAGTTTGAATTAATAAAATTGTAGGGATTTGTTTCCTATTCAGTTTAAGAGATAAGATAAGATTTCGTTCGGATTTTTAACCCCGGAGGGTTAGCCACCCAGGATAACCCAAGAAAGTCAGTGCGTCATCGAGGACTGTCTAACTTATTTATTTACTGAAAAAAGGTAGCAAGTTTCTCCAATAATGGTACTGTACTGTATACAGTAACTTTACAGTGTGCTTAACTGTTCCAATGAGAAGAACAGATGTGTAGCTAGTAACTATGCAGAACTATAACTCGTCAAACAAAGGCTTTCAATGCTGAATCACCATGGTGAATACAAAGGAAAGTACCAAACATACTGAATGCCAAAACAAACCGATTATCAAACTTAGTTTCATCCGCAGCATGTTAAAGAAAGTTCCAATAATTTTATAGCATTATGTGCCTGAAACAAATAGGCAGCCTGAGGTAGTTGTTGGTCCAAGACAGCCAACATGCATGGTGAGGGGAAGGTTAGATTTGTTTAGGCAGTGCTATTTCCTCTGTATTGTACTGTAACACTGCAAAATTAGATTAAACAAGTTACTGCTATTTCCTTAATTGTGTACTGTGATAATTGTGACAGGCATTCTCAGCTAATTTACATTGTCCATGCTGGCCATCTTGAATTAACAAAGCCTGGCTGGTTAGTTAAAGCCTGGTTACT